TAGACAATTTGCTATAAGCATACATGGTGGAATGACGTGAATTGTGAACACCTAATCCAAATCAATAACATTCATAAATATTCATCAACAAAGTTTAATTTTATTCGATAGTGTAATTCTTTAAACATTAAGAATGTTGAGTAAGAAAAATTGGTAACCTGCATGTATGCATATTGATACCTTCATAAAAATGTTCAAATTCACTGGTATCCAAGCAGCATTTACATATATGAAAACAATTTTGAGATCTCTGCATAAATATAATGAGTATTTTACAAAATTTTTTATTTTTATTTATTCAGTTTGAAGAAAATAGTGTATTTGTTAGTATCTACCACCAATTTGTGAGAGCTGTTGTAAAAACAAATGATTTCCTTGCAAACTACATTTATTATTGAAATGGTTGATCAACTCCAAAAAAAGGACATCCATTTTATTATACGAGTATTAAGATCCGTCAAATCCAATTTACTTTAAGTACGAAGTGGAACTAATATGTTTTACTTTTGAAATTTAAAAAATTACTTTTTGCAATATTGTGTTGAATTGACTCGGAAACAAAACAGATGTTGTTCTATTATTTTAAGGATATTTATAAATATGTACGCATTCAACATAAAAACAATAATTACATTTTCTTTTATTCAAAAATTACAAAGTACTAATTCTAACCATAGAGCTAATTTTAATGGGACTATAAATTTCATATTATGTATGTATATCTTAACATTACAAAAAATCTGTCAGAGTGATTTGCGTCTGTCTCTATGAAGTACTTCTGTCAGCCGTGATATGAATGTGATATATAAGGTGTATATGGTGACCTTAGATCCCATATGCAGCAATTTTTGAATTTGATTTTTCAGCTCAGTTCAGAAAATCCGATTTTATCTAAAAAGGATTTTTAAATCGTTTTATTGAAATATATAAAGCAAGGTAATTTTCTTTGTTACACAATCAAATCTATTTCGCATGCATAAATTTTAATTTACTTTTAGCACATATTTCTAAAACAAAATTTAGAAAATACGTACTTGTTAGTTTTGTTTTGTTTGTTTATTTGTCGTTCTATTTAAAAAAACGACCACACCGTTGCAATAATATAGATATCTCAATAAATTAGATATCGCAACAAATGTTTTTGAAAACAAATAATCTAAATCGTCACATTATTCATCCATATTCTTTCATATTACAAAAGTACTTATTGTACTATTAACAGTCTTTATAGCCTTTATAGTTTCTGAAATATAAGGAAATTTTTTGCTTTTGAATAATCAAGCATCTGATTTTAATATACATATATTTAAGTATTTATTCTAGTAACGATACTGTGCTGGAATATTCTTTACAAATTACAGAGTTATGCCATTAAGTAATATTGTAAAATATTATTTCATGAACTAGATCAAAACCATCAAAGTTAAAAACATTTGTTTTTTATTTCATGATTCATTTGTGAATAACTTTCTAAATAATGATAAGACATGAACTGTGATGAACACCTATATAACTGAAAGTGTGCTACATACATAACATTTACATATAATAATTCATCAATCATCAGCAATGCTTAATTATGTTCAATAATTTAATTCTTTAAACATTAAGAATGTTGAATAAGAAAAGTTCAAAACCTGAAAATCAAATTGTAATAATTTCAAAAATTTATTAAGCATATATGTATGTACTCGTATGTATATTGATACCTTCATAAAAGTGTTCAAATTCACTGGTATCCAAGCAGCATTTATATCAAAACACTTTTGAGATCTCTGCATAAATATTATGAGTGTCTTACGAAATTTTTTATCTTTATTTATCCAGTTCGAAGAAAACAGTGCATTCGTTAGTTTCTCACTTTCAGATTTTAGCATATCAGCAAAAAGAGATATTAAAAATATTTGTTGTAAAAAACCAACGTATAGCAAACCTAAACTTGTAAGTTCAGAAGTCGAATTTTTCACTTGTAATGAACATAATGTCAAAAATGTTAAACCAACAATTGCTGTTGTATATTGAATAAACACTTGTAAGGCTACCAGTTTTCCTATTATATAAAAAATTCTAAAAAATCAATATTTGCTTATTAATTAAAAATTTGTTAAATTTGTTAAATTAATTAATAATTTTACCTTTGCAATATTTCATGAAATTTAATACATTCTCTCAATCTCAAATAAGCATTTTTGTTTGAATTTTCGGAAATTTTTTCAATTTTCATAAACAGCACTTGAAAATATCCTTTTAAGATGCAAAGATATATTGGTGCAGAAGTTTCTCCCAAAATAAAAATTAATAAGAATATTACAGTTCCTAAATGATTATGGAAAAATCCCAAATACAACCATTGACGTGAAGCTGTTCCAAGAGGGTACCATAAATCTAAAACTAGTTTTTTAGAATTGTTTCTGTAAAAACAAATTATTTCCTTGCAGATAACATTTATTATTGGTATTAATGAAATTGCTTTAAATAGCTGATCACAAATTTTAAAAATTTTATTTTTTAAATGTAAAATTTCATCTTCTTCAATACAATCTTTTACAATCAATAATAATTTTGGGATTTTTTTCAAATCATCTTTTAATATTAAAATCACAGCACACTTATAAAAACAAGTTAAAGCTGTTACACCTATCGCTATATTTTGAAATGCTGCTGTTGGATCATTTTCCATGAATGGATAAAGTATAATACCAATTGGGAAATACAATATGAAAACCAAAAGAATAACTTGCAAACAGAAATAAATAATTTTTTTGCGAGAAGTTACTTGAAATGGTTTCAAATAAACAATTTCAAATAAATCGCATAACTTCCACATCCATTTTATTGAATTAACATCCGCTAAATCCATTTTACTTCAAATATAACTTAGAACTAATATTTTTACTTTTTTTAATTTAAAATTTTCTTTTTTGCAATATTATTTCGAATTAAAGTTAGATGGTGTTAGAATATTTGATAGCACGCATTATACGAGTATCTAGATACATTTAAAATAAGTTCTTGTATTATTAATTATATAGTTATAAAATATGTAGTATTTTTTTAAAAATGTTACAATATAATGTGGTATCTACTTGAAGAATAGTAATACAAGTATAATTATAGCTCAACTTAGATTGTACAGTTTTTAAATTCAGGGCTCTCCAACTTGGTCTCCAATTTGAACACTTTTATGAGTTACGTTTAAAGTTGTTTGACTCTTTGTTCTACAGTTTCAATTATAAAACATATATCAAATATTGATATGATATAGAAATCACTGATTTTCTTTTCGGATAAATTGTTGGATCAAAATTTGTTTTAAGTTAAACTGAGAAGGAAATATTTCTATTAGTACTATTATAGTACTACACTAGTATTTCATTCTATGGGTAGAATACCTTGTGGCATTTTTTTTTTCGAAAAGTTAATGTAAACGAAAAGTGAAACACTGTATATCACGCGGTGCTATGAAAATTTTTTTTTACTTTATTTTGTTGCGGTTAATTTTATCGATTTTTAATAATGAACGGTTAAACAATTAATCTTGCCTATTAAGTGCATCTATCGAAAAAAAAAGTAAAGAACATTTTTATTGTTTGCATGCACGTAAAGAAACTGTGGTTAAAATAATTTCTAATTATTTATTAATACCAGAAAAATTACACGAGTAAGGTCAATTGTATAAATTTTATTATATTTGCTAAAAATTTTCCAATCAATGTCGTTTTAATTTTTGAGCCTCATTTGAATTAAGGTGTTGGAAAATATCTGTATATATTAACTTTGTCTTTAAGGTAAGTTATGCATTTAGTGCAGTATTTGATTACATTTGAAAAAAAAAAACCAAATATTTTTTTAATAACATGGAAAATTATTTTCTGATAAACTTCGATATCGTTGCTTTTCATCAGTTCCATGAATACAATGAAAGTGTTTTTGCTCAATTTGAATTTCCTCAATTAAATAACATTAATTTTTTAAATTTTATACAGAATAAATTTTATTTTATGAAATTTATTTCTGAATAAATTTTATGAAAATTCCGAAAAATGTGCATTTGTATTGTGTGATAAAAAAAGATTAATATTGATGCAGTGCATTTAGCTCATAATTGCTTATTTTAAAATCATTCACAATTTATTGTGAGTGTTCAAAAGAGTGAATATTAATATCGAGATTTATTAGTATATAGTTAATAAATGCTTGAGAGTTTGAAACTACAGTCAGATAATTGCAAACTCCCTTCACATTTTAATTAGAAAAAATCTTAAGTTTCTTCACTACAAATTAATATTGAATATGAATCTAAATTGTGATGAGATGTGAATTGTAAATACTTACATAAATTGAGGTCATGTGCTTTAATATTTTTTTTAATTTTCCTTATATATTTTAATTTGTTTTCCATGATTTCTCACATTTTGCCTTGCCATTGGATAAATCCCATTTCTGCACGGATTATGTTAGGCATACATTCCGGATTATTTACATACTATGATATTGCACCCGAAAATTAAAAATCAAAATTTGCATGTATTAAAACTTTAAGATTTTCTTAATTTAAAAACCTAAAAATAACGGTAAGTCTTTTTGCAAAATATAAATTATGTAGGAATCTAATAAGACCATATATATACATATATATAAATGTGATACATACCTAATTCCATTTGCTTAATGGTGCAAAAATACATTATAAAAATTCTTGAAATTTTAATGATATATTCATATAATTGTATATGAAAAGTAGTTTTAATTCTAATATATTTAAAAATATAATTGTGATAATGGATATAATAAAGAAAAAAATATGTTAATTTAAAATTATAAATATTTCATTTGCTTTGTTTTTTTTAAATCAGGGATGTCACATTTTAACTGTCCAAATTTAATTTTAATCGAAGTAGTTTGATAGAAATTAATAAAAAATGAAATGGCAATACTGAAGAATTAAACGTCAATGTCAAATTTTTTTTTTCAGGTTTGTTATAATTTTTCAGATTTGTTTGGTCGATAAAGAGGAGTAGTGTAACAAACGAGTAAAGAAAATAATTTAAATTATTAATTTTTCTGCACGTTTTAATTTCTAAAATGAAGATTGAAGAAGTTAAAAGTACTGTAAGGACTCAGAGAATAGCAGCTCACAGCCATATAAAAGGACTTGGTCTCGATGAAAAAGGTATTCCTATGCAAATGAGCGCTGGTTTAGTCGGTCAAAAAGCGGCTAGAGAGGTTAGAATTTTATAAATATAAATTCTGGAAATTAATAGATAATGAAATATTTTCTTTTTTCAGGCGGCTGGAATTGTTGTTGATTTGATCAAATCTAGAAAGATGGCTGGTCGGGCTTTACTTTTAGCAGGCCCGCCTGGAACCGGAAAAACTGCTATTGCCTTGGCAATTGCACAAGAGCTTGGTAATAAAGTACCATTTTGTCCAATGGTTGGATCAGAAGTTTATTCTAGTGAAATTAAAAAAACTGAAGTATTAATGGAAAATTTCCGGAGATCAATTGGTTTACGTATTCGTGAAACAAAAGAAGTTTATGAAGGTGAAGTTACTGAATTAACACCAGTTGAAACAGAAAATCCAATGAAGGGATATGGTAAAACTATTAGTAATGTTGTAATTGGCTTAAAAACGGCAAAAGGTACAAAACAGTTAAAACTTGATCCAAGTATATATGAATCAATTCAAAAGGAAAAAGTAGAAGTAGGAGATGTAATTTATATTGAAGCCAATAGCGGGGCAGTAAAACGACAGGGTAGAAGTGACACATTTGCTACTGAATTTGATCTTGAAACTGAAGAATATGTACCGCTACCAAAAGGTGATGTACATAAGAAAAAGGAAGTGATACAAGATGTCACACTACATGATTTGGACGTGGCTAACGCAAAACCACAAGGTGGTCAAGATGTTCTATCCATAATGGGTCAATTGATGAAACCGAAAAAGACGGAAATTACAGGTATATAATTGATTTGTGGGATTAAACTTTGTTAAAACATATTTTGATAAAATATTTCTAAAGATAAACTAAGAATGGAAATTAATAAGGTTGTGAACAAATATATTGATCAGGGTATAGCTGAATTAGTTCCAGGAGTTCTTTTCATCGATGAAGTTCATATGCTTGATTTGGAAACTTTTACATATTTGCATAAATCCTTAGAATCTCCAATAGCTCCCATTGTTATATTCGCAACAAATAGAGGAAGATGTGTGATCCGGTAAGCAAATGGTTACAAATTTGTAAATTTTTAAACATTTTGATAATTTTATTTAGTGGAACTGAAGATATAATTTCGCCGCATGGAATTCCATTAGATTTACTAGATCGTTTGTTGATTATTCGAACTTTGCCATATAGTGTGAGTGAAATAGAGCAAATTATTAAATTGCGTGCTCAAACTGAGGGCTTACAATTAGATGAATCAGCAATCCAATTATTGAGTGAAGTTGGAAGTACATCAACTTTACGTTATGCAGTACAATTATTGACACCTGCACATCAAATGAGTAAAGTAAATGGTAAAAGCCAAATAACGAAGGATGAAATCAGTGACGTCCATTCATTGTTTTTGGATGCTAAACGTTCATCCAAACATTTGTCAGAAAAAGACAATAAATTTATGAAATAAAAATGTTTTCAAAAATCTTGAAATCCTTTACAAACCTCCCAAAATAAAATTTTTTTTAAACCTCAATTCATCTTTAGTTTTTGAAAATAAAATTCATAAATTTGAAACAAATCCAACTTTTTTTTAAATTTTTTTTAATTTTTCTGAAATGTACATTCCTGGACTGAATATACAACCCATAAAATTTTAACATAAAAATTAATTAGTACTGGTCTATTTAGCTTCTTTCTTTGTTTCTCCTTTACCGCCACGAATTCTACCAGTACGACGTGCAGCAATAAGACCAACTTTACGACCAGCTGATGTACCACGTTTGACTGTTGAAGCCTTACCAATATGTTGATGGTTACCACCACCGTGAGGATGTTCTACTGGGTTCATAGCAACACCACGAACTTTAGGCCAGCAATTACGTTTAACCTTATATTTGTGATATGCCCTACCGGCTTTTAATATAGGCTTGTCAATACGACCTCCTCCTGCTACAATACCAACCATAGCTCTGTTTGCGGATGGAACTACTTTTTTTGCTCCTGACGGTAATTTAACACGCGTTTTCTTTGTGTCTGGATTGTGAGCAATTACAGTTGCATAATTCCCTGATGTACGTGCTAATCTACCGCGATCACCTGTTTTTTCTTCTAAGTTACAAATAATTGTACCTTCAGGCATTTGAGACAATGGCATAACATTGCCAATTTGTAAGTTACTTTTGCGTCCGCAGTATAAAAATTGTCCAGTATGCATACCTTCTGGGGCAATAAATAATTCTTTACGAATTTTATATTTGTATGGATCACGGAAATGGACAACAGCTAATGGTGCACCACGACCTGGATCATGAACAATGTCCTAAAAATTAAAATTGTTAAAACTAACTCAAATTTTTGTAAACACGATTCTAACCTTTACTACACCTTTTAAATATCCATGACGTTCAGCAAAATCTAATGGCCTTAATTTGGCGGCTCCCTTTCGTTTTTTGACATGGGCTTTGAAAACAGACCCAGCTCCTTTACGTTGTGCACGTATAACACGACCCATTTCTTGGTTCTTTCAACTACATAAAATAAAAAATTATCAGAATATAACAACTTAGTAACATCAAGAATGTTTGTTTTATATTCAAATAAAGAAGTTTCAATAGAAATATTGGAATGAAAGTGTGCTACACTACATAAAAAATCTTTAATTTTATAATTTATTACACGATGGTCATTATTAATAAACATTTTTTGAGATTTTTTATAGCAAAAATAAAGTTACACTTACTTCCAAGTAAAATTTAAAAAGAAAAGAAATGTCAAATGGAATGAAACAAAGTGTCGTTGTTTTGACGTTTAACAAATGACAAGCATGCAAGAAAAATATAATGTCAATGCTGCCATTGTCGTTAAGTACCCTTTTTTTTTAACTTTTAATTACATACACCTTGGGTAAAAACTGAAAAAAAAAATCAAAATGTCAAAAAGATTTTGTGTATTTGTATTTTTTTTTTAAATTTGCATGCATATACTTTTCATATTTTGATTATTCAGTTTATTTAGTTATCGTGCTACTTAACTGCAATCTGATGTCCCATAAATAATATGCATTCACAAATTTTGTATGACATATACCAAAATGCTCTATAGCAAGTATGCTGTGCTAAATTGTAACTATTATTTTATTGTTTTTAACATTTTATGGAAACGTCAACAATATATTGTTATAGCAACAAATATATAATATCCACAAACCTAGATACATTATCTGTTTGACAACCGTAAGCTCGCTGATTTTGAATACAGTATAACGCATTAATTTAGTTCGACCACTAAAATGTGTAAACATAAATTAACGATATTTACTTTTTTTAAACGAAATTCTAAATTTCGTATGGCGGCGCATTTATATAATTTTTAAGCTATTGTTTACATATACGGCAAAATCTATAATTATATTTCCGATAAAGTCAGATGACTGTTTACATATAAGAATGAAATGGTTTCAGTATTTAGGTTAGAATTTAATCACGAAAATTATGATCAAAATAAAATTCAGCTAATCAATACCTTTGATCAATACCCTCAAACTATTGTAAAATATTAATAGTCACCATTTTGCTTTTCAAAAATGTGACAGTAAATCTTTCGAAGTTTGAGGAATTTAGATTAATTTCTATTATTTGCCGCTAAACAATGTTTGATGTATTAAATTAAATCGTAAATTTTTGTCTAATTTTTAAGTAATAACTAAAATGTAATCAAAATTAATAAAAGCCGGCCGGATTATATGTAATCATATTTTTTGACAACAAAAGTAATTCATTTTCAATTAGACTTTCCGTCACTTTATAAAATTTAATTGTCAAAAATTTTCCTATTTTGCAAAATGGCTTCTTTCATTTTTCGTGCAAAACTTTTCCAATTATCGTAGTCATTCGGTAGGTGAGTTAACTTTAACATGTCGTATATAATATAGTCACATTTGAATTAGTGAGAATAGAAAAAAACATTTTCATTATTTTTTTTATTTCAAAAAAAAAAAAATGTTATCTTCAAATGAAACTTAAATAACTTTTTTTTGATTTCTATTCAATTTTTTAAAAAAAAATCTTTATAAAATAAAAGAAACATTTTCAAATTTCGGGGACTTTTATGTTTTTTTTTTTTGTGTAATTTAAGAAAAAACCTCGAGTAACAAATAAAAGAAAGTTTCTTTTTTTTTTGCTGTCAAAAGAAGGAAAAAAAAAAAACAAGAAAGAAAAAATATAAAAAAAAAAACCGTGAGGAAAGAAAAATTTCCAATAAAGTCGGGCGTGGAACTGCAAAAAAAAAAGTATTAGTTTTATTCTCTTTCTAATTTGCTATTTTTTTTTTAAATTTTAAATATGAAATTAATTAGATTTTTTATATATGAATAGTAATAGAGAGCATTATAGCAATTTAATAATAATAATTAAATTTTTGATATTTATAATTCAAGAATTACAAAAAATGTTTTAATAATTTAGAAAAAATTCAAATAAAATTTATTTATTAAGTTAGAAGTGAGAAGTTTTAAAATTTCAAGAAAATTTTAAAGTATGGAAGAAATAAGAATACAAAAAATATTTTTTAAATAAAAAATTCTTTGTGAAGTTTTGTGAAAAAGAAAATTTAAAAAAAAAAATATTTTTCTATAAGTAATGAATAATTAAAAAATAATATGTATAAAAAAATTATTGATATAGAAATTAAAAATGTCGTGCCATTAATTTTGATTTTTTCTTTTGAGAAAAAAAATGTTAAAAATCAAATGTTTTAGAATAAATTAATACTGACTATCAATATACATACATAATATAACCATAATAATGTAATCATAATATAACGTCATAAATATATATAAAATATACATTGAAATTATATGAGTACATATGAATAAATAATAATATCCATAGGTGTGTGTTTACACATTGGAACAGAGAAAATTTTTCTAAAAATTTTATATACTTAGAATTTTATAATAATTATTTTAGATACTAAAAAACAAGAACAAAAAATAAAATAGAAAATTAATAAAGTTATATTTATATATATATATGTGTATGTATATAATGTATACAGATATATATTTTAATTGATTTACTATGTGGTACATAATATACACATTACATGTACATATATCTATAAATATACAATATAGCAGTGCAAATATATAATAATTCATATTACTTATATTTTTCACATAAAAATATATAATTTTATTTTGATTAAAATTAAAATTTAATTGATTGAAATTTTTTTTTTTTTTTAAAGATATAATATCTATGTACCTAAATTAATAGAACATTAAATTTGGATTAAAAAAAAAAACAAGAATAAAAAAATAAAAGAAAAAAACATAAGAAAGAAAGGAAAAAAAAAAAACAAATTATACACCAAAATGGCGCATCAAATTGCCCCATCGGTGAATTGTTCTCTAGACGATATCGATTTAAATGCTTTAAAGGTAAATTTTTTTATTATTCATCATTTATAAAAAAATATTCTATTTTTGAAAACCTACTAGCTAGATAGGTAGGTACCTACTTACTTACTTAACATATTTGATTTTCTTATTATTTTTATTAATAATTTTTATTGTTAAGTAGGTGCCTACTTATAAAATTATTATTTATAATAATTATTTGTCATTATTTATTATGTTTATGAGATTTATCAAAATAATAATTTCAAGATTAGGATAATTATTTTAAAAATAAAATAATTGCTAATTACTGAAAATTGTGCAAAAGGGAAAAAAACTAAGTTATAAGCCAGACAACATGTTAATAGATATTGAATATGTACGATGCATTTAGGTATGGGTATAGGTGCCTACCTATATTTTTTACCTTTTTTCTTCATAGCTTTTATTGTTTTAATAAAATTAATACAAAAAAAAAACAGAAGAGAACATAATAAATAAAAATCATAAACCTAAATTTATTTTTTTAACAGTTCAATTTGTATTTAAATCAGAAGAAAAATTGGTATAGCTAGGTAAGATAACCTATCTTATATGAAAATATAAAACCTAATCAGAAAAAAAAGAAACGTATAAGTATTAAGGATTTGTTTTCTTTCTCATTTTATTATCACTGTTATTATTATTATTTTTTATGTTCTTAAAAATTCATCAAGTTTAAAATGACGTATATTTTTTTTATACATTATTAATTGTAGTTCCCAACAATTATTTTATAGCTAGTTAGGTAGCCTACTTACGAGTATGTAGTTTTATGCTTGTATATAATCTGTAATAAATGTAAATTAATATTCAATGTAATTGTCCATGCTTATTGTAAATTTAGTAAGTTATAATTTTACAGTAGGAATATAGAAATGCGGATATCTTAATATTTATTATTTATATGTTAATTTTAAAAAATATTCATTGTATTTATAATCAAAGTTGATTGTAATTCTAAACCTTTTATTTGTTAATCTAGTTATTGTATAGTTCTAGTATTATTAGAATTGGTTAGATAGGTTGATTTTATCTACGATATGACGTTTATTTATTGTAGATAACAGGAATTATATTTTAATGTAAATTTTTTAATAATATAATTTTTTTTTGTATATAAGTAATTCTGTCATTAAGTAAGTATAAGTAATAATATTTAGATGTTGAAAGTAATTGTTTTTAATTCACTTAAAAAATTTAAGCACATTTATAAGGTATAAGGTATATTTATTTTTTGGTACTTATAAAATGGCATAGGTACAGGCCTACCTATCCCTGACTTAGCTTTTGTTTTTATTAGTATCAAATTGTATTGTTCGTAGCGAACTGTCAGAGGTATGGTAGCGAATACCACTCCTATGAAACTGGATGGTACCTTTATCAAAAATGTTTTAGTAAATACTTAACTAATCGAAAATTAATAAACCTATTTCATAAAGGATAAAGATCAAATTAGTAGAATAGAACTAGTAGAATGAATGAATAACATAATAATTATGTACGAAATTAAATATAGTTTGGGATTTTTTTCTTAAACCTTAGTCGTCCTTAAATATCGAATTTATTTTCAGTTTTGCTGAAAAATGACCTCAAGTGTACTTTAAAATTTATTGTCATTTTTAATATTTATTTTAACTTTTAAGTAAACGTGTATGATTGCTTACTTTTGTCCTTACAAATTAGTTCTACTATATGAATATGCTTAATATAGGCTGTAATGTATGTACTTATATACCTATATTGTTTTCTTAAGTAGGCATTTTAGCTATTTTTATTTTACAGTGAATACTTTATTCCTCAGACTATACTTTTCTATGTAATATAACCATTCCTTTTTTTTTTAATATTTTTTTTTCTAAAGGGAATAAAATTTCTATTAATATACTTACGTAGGATTGAATATAAATTAAATTTTAAAAAATATTTTCATTTCTGAAGCGTTTTAAAATTAATTATAATTGAAATAATTTAAATTAATATAATAATCTTAACGTTGCTTTTATTCCTAAATTTATTTTAAGATTGTATTTTCATATTTTTGGTACCGTAATATCGATATAAAGGGAACGTGCTCACGACATATGTACGAGTACAAGTCTATCTATAAGTAGGTGTTTTTTTTATACAAAGCAGCGAAAAATTTGATATTATGAAGAGAAATTTAAAGTTTTATTAGCAAAATTTATGAGCTAAGTAGGTAGTTCCTGCACATCCATAATGAAATTGAAATTATTTTGAATTTAAATTGATGAATAGTTATTTTTTTGAAAGATTTAAAATTTAAATCCAATTAAATTTTTGAAAATAGCATAATTTCAGTATACAAGGATAATGTTTTAAGAGTAGATAGGTACTTAGACACCTTATTAATTTTGGAAATTTAAGGAAATTTTGGAAATTTATTAAGGAAATTACCATCTGAGTAACTTTATAAAAGACAGAAAATAACTCTTCCTAGTTTTAAATTTTTATTATTTATGTCTAATATGAATTTTGTATTCTTTTGTTTAAAGTATTAACCCCTTTTCGTTTTATCAAATTTTTTTCATGTCAACATTTGATTATGGTACAATGAACCCAACAATATTTACAAATTACGATATAAAAACAAAATTGTCAAACAAAAAACAAAACAAAAGAAGAATAAAAATCAAAATTTCATAATTTTTTAAGATAAAATAATAAAAAAAAAAAAATTATTTCGTTTTTTCGTAACTACTTTAATGTTTTTTCTTGTTACAACGTAATAAAAATTTCGATAACAAAAAAAAAAATAGTATTCCTTAGAGGCATTGACATTAAAATACAACATTAATGTTTGATAATTAATTTAGTTACATAAGAATTATGCAAATGCGAATGAATTTGTTTGTTAATTGAAATTTAAAAAAAAAATTGATTAGAATTACTTATATTGAGTTTTTTTTGTAAAACGCATATAAATGGTTTTAGTTACTGTTTTCATATACGACAAAATTTGCGATTTAATATGAATTCGATGAAAGTCATATAAATAAACTCGGTTTGGCATTAGAATGTCTTACAGCAAATACTTGACAAAGATTAAGTACTCTGCTTTCTTCAGAGATTTACTGTCAGATTGTTTAAAAATAAAATGGCGATAATAAATTTTTTTTTGTGGTAATTTGGGCAGTAGTTAGCTGCCCTTTGTTTTGGTTATAATTTCCGTAACAAAATAATTAAATTTAAAAATCAGATCATTTAAGTTTGATATACCTATTAACAGTTATCAGACTTTGTGAATTAAATCCGAAATTTTTTCGTACATATACATATGTGTAAACAGTACCTTTTATACACACAGAATAAACGACAATAACACTGACTAAACACTTTAATTATTAAAAATTTTAATTAAATTGTAAAATGTTTTGAAATAGAAATAGATGTTTTGAAATTGCGTTTTATAATTTCTGTCATTGTTTATTTATTGAGTTGAATTGAAAAATCTGAATTCAGATGCAAAATTTGGAAGTAACAAATTTGTATGTTGAATTCTTAAATTTTTGCGTGCTTAACTTAAAATTATTAGTAATACAATTTTGAATAATAAGTAATTTATTTTTAATTTTATAAATTATTCAATTCATATTAATATCAAATTAAGTTCAGGTCACAGTGAAATTTGTACATTGCCTGCCAACAGAAAAATTATATTTTTTAGGTATAAGAAATGCGAAGACTTTAAAATCAACAATTAGGCTAGATTGGTTGAAGTGACTACTATAAACTACACATTTAGTAGCTACTATAAAATACAAATTTAAGCTACTATACTTAATTTATGTACAGTGGCTTTTAAATGAAAAATTAGGTACCCTCCCACATTTTCTAAGTACCCCGTTCCGTTTTTATAAGTACTTATTAAGAAAACAAATAGTTTTGAGTCTATAATTTTCTATAATTTTCCTTACAGATAACTTGGAGTCATTATTAATTTTTAACATTTTTGAATTGAATTTAAATTTCGTTTGTTATTCATTTTACAAATTATTATTATCTAATACCCAGTTTCTAAAACAATTTAATTTGATAATTTAATATAATTTAATTTTTTATTTCAAAAGAATTTTGTTAAATAATTATTTTATTTAGGAAATAAAATTTAAAATTTCATAATAATTATCTAATTTATTTTTTAAAACTAAAAGCAATCTGAATGTTATTTAAGTAAAAAAATTTAAACTTGAAATAATTTTAAAAATGAGTAAAATAAATTATATAGGTATAAATTTTAAATAAATTAAATTAATTATTTTTAAATTAAATAATTAAAATAGTTATTTTTTTAATATTGCAGAGATTTCTTGATTTGTTGCAAGAAAATAATTTTATTTTGTTTTTTTTAAATACTAATTTCAGTATTTTTTTATTTAGTAATTTTTATATCGTTTTTTTTTTTACTCAAATACAAACTTGCTTAAATACAAATTTTCTTCCTCTATACATATATATGTATAACAATATGTATGTACTTACTTATCACTGGGACGATGACCTCCAACAATATTCTAATAAATATTTAAGCTTTATCGTTTTTATATTTTTACAATCGAATGAATTTATATGGAACACGAATATCGTAGAAATATACATTATTTAAGTAAGAAAATATTTTACTTCTGTTTTGTAATGAATTTGTAAAATGAACGATCGTCTAATTCTTTATAAAATATTTTTATACTTCTACATGATTAAATATGTTAGACCCGAATTAGGATTTAATGAATATATTGAGTTTCGAATATATACGTGTACTTATATTTATGTACATGGTTTACTTTAAGCCACCTTAATTTTAGTTCAATTTCAATTATAATTTCAATATTGTTTTAACAATACATACTTAATTAACAATAAAAATTCGGTTAAAGAATAAAACCACAGCAAATACATGAACACAAATAATTTACAGAAACTATCAATTTAAGCATTTAATAATAATTGAGCGGACAACATATTGTAAGAAGCCGATTGGA